CCAAGATGGCTCCAAGATGGCCCAAGACGGCCCAACTGGCAACCAAGAGGGCCGCCAAGAGGGGCCTCCAGGAAGGCCTGAGCAGGCACACATGATTGATACTCCTGAGGTTGTTGATGACTTGTTGCACCGTTTTCTTCTCGGCCTTCCGACGGCCCGAGGCGGCCGAAGGGCCCCGCAAGTTCGGCTCAAGATCGCCCACGGGGCCTCCAAGATGGCCCCAGAACGGCCCAAGAGGCCCCCAAGACTGCCCCAAGAGGGCCCCAAGAAGCCTCCAAGACGCTCAAGATGGCCTCCGAGACAGCCCTGGAGCACACAAAGAGAGCCCCAAGCCGGTTCAGAGAGCCCCCGAGACGGCTTCCGACGGCGTCAGACGGGCGAGGAACGCCTTACGACGGCCCAAAGAGGCGCCCAATAAGCCCCAAAAGACCTCCAAGAGGCCAAAGGAGGCCTCCAAGATGCCTCCAAGAGGCCTCCAGGAAGCTCCCAGGAGGCCCCAAGAGTGCCCCCAGAGGCTCCCAAGATGCCCTCCTCCTCCTCCTCCTCCTCCTCCTCCTCCTCCTCCTCCTCCTGGTCTTCCCCGCCGTCGTCCCCCAAGTGTTCCACGAAGGGTTTCCACAACGACTGGGAGAACACATGGACCGATAGATTGGCAGAGCTTTGGCCACGACGTTGGACCACATGGGCGATTCCAAAAGGCAGGGGGCGGCAGTGATTCGCCGTAGGCGTCTTCGATACAATAGAATAAGAAAGAACATAACACGTTAGGGTCGGGTAGGGTAGGGCGGAGTAAAGTGGGGTAGGGTAGACCAGAGTAGTGAAGAGCGAAGTACTGAAGATTGTAGAGTAGCTTGGCGTATATCCGAGAAGAGTGGAGTATAATAGAACAGGGCAGAGTAGGGTGACGAATAAAATAATACAGGGGAGTATATTCGAGCAGAGTGAGGGTCGAGTAGGGTACAAAACAGTAGAGTCGAGTACTCTAGGTTGGAGTCGAGTCGAACAAGGCCGATCAGAGTAGAATAGAGTAGGGGCGATGGTATACAGAGTCGGACAGAATCGAATAGAGCAGAATAGGGCAGAGTCGAGTCGACTCCACCCCAGTCCAGTCCGGTCTACTCCAGTCCAGTCTACTTCAGTCCACTTCAGTTCGGTAGTCTGATTTAGTTGGAGTCTGCGCTGGCGGATGAGTGGGAACTTGGCGTCCCAGATGTAGCATTCCAAGGCCGCCTACGGAATCCATTGCACATGGAATTCCGACGTATACACACGTCGAGCCCAGTAGGAATCAACATGGAACCCTCTGGGTATGTCACCTTCCATGTTCTCATTAAAACGCAAGCAGAATCCAACTGAAAACCAATTGGGACCCTCTAGATTAGGGACCTGCTCTATTCGAATTGGGTTATGATTTGAATCCAAGTGGGAGCACATTGGATGCCTCTGGATCTGGCTCCTATTTTCTACAAGTGCGTTATCCAATGGGTGTCGAGAACACCTGAGGACCAAGGGAGTTATTTTGGATTTGAATGCGATTCAAACCAAAGGAATACAACAGGACTAGAGCAGATATCATCTCCAGGAAATGTTCGTTCAATTTGAACAGGGTCCTGATGCCAATTCCACAGAAACTCAACAGACCCTAGCTACAGAGGCGCCCAAGTCGCTAAGAAAGCGGATCGCAAGTTAATGAAAATGACGCAGACCCCATATTCACAATGTTAAATTGATTTAAATAGGCATCCACTCGGAATTCAATCGGAATGCAACAGTGCCATCGCATATTCCAGATTCCATGGTCGAGACCACAGGGCCTCATCATCGCTTCGCTCGTGCGCCAACAGATGATGCCAGGGGGTTAGCAAACAATCCCAGGCCCTCTCCAAAATCCCTTGTATTTGGAACCCAAATAGATCCCAATCGATACCCAATTGGGATCTTCTGGATCTGTGATTTCCTCCGTCTTTATTGGAATCCGTTTGGAATCCAATTGGGATCCTTCAGATCTGGGATCTGATCCACGGAACTTCGCATATCGGAAACACCATACGAACGAGCATGCAAGGAAGACAAAACGCATAACGTAAGACAGACAGAACAAGCAGACAAGCAGAGACAAACAATTAAGAAGATAACGGACTAATGAAGCAAAAAGCGTGCAAAGAGCTGAAGCAAGACTGGCGTATCTCGTGGTATGACAAGAACTCGTCGGGAACGCCCAGAACCATAGACGGCCCTCGCCGGGCCCCAAGGCCATCAGAGAAAGGGCCGGCATGTAACACCCACCCCAGGGAAGGGGTCTGGACTTCTGGGACCTCGCATGTTTTGAAGACAACAATCAAACAACAAGTACAACAACACCACCAACAACAGCAGCAGCAACAACAACAGCAAACAACACCAACAACAGCACCACCAACAACACCAGCAGCTGCAGCAACAACAACAACAACAATCAGCTTAAGACTGTTCGCCCTTATCTGCTCGAGTGTCCAATAACGCGTATTTCCCAACAACCCTCGGTACCCGACCTCTTCGTCTTCGATCGAGACTCCGTTTGGGGGGGTATACATTTCTTCCCTGCAGGCCGGGCCCGGGCAAGCGGCGGGGCGGCCGCGGACCGTCGGCCTGGCCAGCGGCAGCGCTGATCGGCGGGGCGGCCGCAGACCGTCGACCCGACCCCAAGAGGGACGGACAGGGGACCGACCATGACGACGACGACGACGACGACGACGACGACGACGACGACGACGACGACGACGACATCGACGACGACGGCGACGACAACGACGACGACGACGGCGACGACGACGACGAGCGAAAGCGAAAGCGAGAGAGAACGACAGCAGGGCCACAAGGACACGAAGTAGGCCACGAAGGGCGACAGCGGGGACACGAAGGGAATGCGTATGGGGCCACGAAGAGCGCGAACGAGCGGGGCCACAGAAGGCAACGATGGGGCCACTGAGGGTAGCAACTGGGCCACGTAGGACAATGAGGGGACCACAAATGGCGACAGCGGGGCCACGAAGGCCATGCACATGGGGCCACAACGGGCGCGAACGAGCGGGGGCCACGAAGGGCATACGTATACTGGGCTGCGGAGGGCAAGGACGGGGCCACTGAGGGCAGCAACGGGGCCACGAAGGGCAGCGAGGGGGCCACAAACGGCGACAGCGGGGCCACGACGGGGATGCATATGGGGCCACCACGGGCGCGAACGAGCGGGGGCCACGAAGGGCATACATAAATGGGGCCACGAAGGGCAGCGAGGGGGCCACGAAGCAAAGCGAGGGGGCCACGAAGGGCAGCGAGGGGGCCACGAAGGGCTGCAACGGGGCCACGAAGGGCTGCGACGGGGCCACGAAGGGCAGCGAGGGGGCCACGAAGGGCTGCAACGGGGCCACGAAACAAAGCGAGGGGGCCACGAAGGGCTGCAATGTTGCCACGAAGGGCAGCGAGGAGGCCACGAAGGGCTGCAACGGGGCCACGAAGGGCAGCGAGGGGGCCACGAAAGGCTGCATCGGGGCCACGAAACAAAGCGAGGGGGCCACGAAGGGCTGCAACGGGAACACGAAGGGCAGCGAGATCCCGATTCCTAGGTAATCTGTGAGGGAGTCCTAAGCGTGAGCGAGACTCCTGGGTGCCTGGGTGTCGGGAGCGCGGCGCTTCAGTAAATTGCCTCGCTCCTCGATCCTCGATCCTCCTCCTCGATCCTCGATCCTCGATCCTCCTCCTCCCCCTCCTCCTCCTCCTCCTTCTCCTCCTCCTGCACGTAGCACGTCCTTACCACCAGGGAAGAGCTCCAGAAAACAGGGCCTCGGGCCCTGGTAGCCCCAAAACACCGCCTGAACCCCATCACAGGCGTCTCCCAGCATAAACGTGCTAGTGAAGCTGTCCTGCCCCTTGCGAGTTGAACTCCATGGAGCATGAAAACATCGTCCTTGCCTGCTAGCAGAACGGCTCTCCCAGGTCGAAAGAAGCCGATGGAAGGGCACGGCTCGGCTGTCAGGACAACTGCGCACAGTGCGGGCAAGTCTGATTCAGGGCGTTACCCGAGCTTTGGGCTTGATTTCAGATTACATGTGCCGATCCTTCGGCATCGTTGCCGCTTTGATGTTCAAATGGTGTGCGAAGCACACATCGCCGCACGCGTGTCATATATATATATATGTATATATATACATATGTATATACACATGTATGCCACACACACGAGAGTATGCAGTACACGCGTAGACGCTGGTACTATACAATGTCGATCGTTACGCGCCGCACGCCCGAGAAACACCTCCCTACACCCCCAAGGCTCCGAAATCAGACCTATCGGCTTCATCCCCAGGGTCTGGGCCTTGGTGAAGCGAAGGCTTTGATGGACTGAACGCGCCCGAGAAAAGAGCCTCCGTCGGCCGAAGCACTCTCCACCACCCGTTCGCTCCAGGTGGAGTGCTCAACGTCCTGGCCAGCAGCGCCCTGCCCTCGGGGGCCCCGGACATCCCCACGCGCTCCTCGAGCCGGGCACGGCCTGCCCGCGAGGAGCCCCCCCCCCGAAGCCGAGGCGACGCAGAACGCACCCGCCGGCCGGCGGGCACCGGCCCCCCCCCGTTGCGGGGGGGGGGCCCAGGCAGCCGACGCCTTGGCGTTTGCCGGGAGGGGCCCCCAGAAGTCCCGGCCCTCTGCCTGGGGGGCTGCTGCTCGCCCCGAGCTGCTCCCTGGCGGCCCAGGGTGCCCGACGAGGGCCGCGGAACGTCAAGAGCGCCCCAGGCACCTCCCGTCGCAACGGGTGTGCACGGCGCGGGCATGTCGGGGTCTGGGGGTCGAGAGGAGGGAATGCCAGGACTTGTTCTGGGGAGCTTTCTGGCCAGGATTTCAAGGCGGATCCAGCCGTTGCGACGTGGAGCCCCTGGCGGCCCACGACTTGCGGAAGAAGCAAAAGGATTGATGCTCGAATCTCCAAAGCCTGGGAAAGGGAAGGCTTCGGCATGGGTGGGCCGAGCCGCTCCATCTCGCTCACGAACAGCAGCGCCGTGGAGAAATTACCGGCGGGCACCCGCGCCTTAGCGTCGGCGACGTACCTCGCCGAGGGCAAGGGGGAGCAGCGCGGGAAACCGCCGCTCTAAGCGCCAACCGCTCTTCCCTTCCCTCGTCTGCCCTCCTCCACCTCCTCGTCCTCCTCCTCCTCCTCCTCGCCTGTCCTTTCCGAAGTCACCAGGTCACGAACGCCGCAGAGGTGCGCCGAACCAGAAACCGAAGGAGGCATGAAGAACGGCGCCGCGAAAGCTGATCAAATGCCGCGCGCCTCTGGCCACGAGAGTTGGCAAAGCGCCGCGCAAACCATGGGGACAGGGACCGCCACCCTCACTTCCTGACCTTAACCGCCCCGACACGCAACACACAACACGAAGCATGTTGACACGAAGCCAAACACGTAGACTGAAGACGCACGTTTGGCGCGATACGTTCGCCCAAACGTGGGCCAACACGCTGCGCCAACGCGCAGCGTATTGACACGCACGTTTTGCACACGGCGCGTGCTGCGTTTCAAAACGGGCATAGCAGGGCAGCTACGCGCCTGACCTCCCTCCTCCCCAAAAACAATATCTGATACCGGCCCCCATGGTACTGCAAAAGCTGGCGAGTAGCAGGGAGGAGGAGGAGGAGGAGGAGGAGGACGACGACGAGGCGGACCAGTGTGCACCCAAGACGCATCAACGATGCTGCCACAAACCATCCCTCCAAGTTCCCGCTGCACTGATTTATTTTCACTGCGGGAAATTCTCCGTTGGATGACAAACATCTGAAAATCCGCAACCGTGCCAACCACCATTCATGGGACATCCGCGCCGCGACTCAACGATATTGTTGCGCCCTGGCGGTTCTGAACCGCGCCAGAACACCACTCCTAGGACTTCAACATCGGGAAGAATCGACCTGAGACGCCGGCCATCAATGTCTGACCCTGTTTTAAAAACGTCAACCTGGGACGTCGGCCTTAAATGTTTTGATGCGAGAGCGCGCGGCGCCAAGACGAGAACAACATGTTGAAAAGGAACTGGCCTCATCCGTTAAATTTTTCCAAACGTTTAACACGAATTTGCACGGCACGAAGCGGGGGCCAGGGCCAGGGACGAACCACAAACAAGGGGGCTGGGGCTTCGACGCAGGGCCAGAGGGGGGCCTGGGGTGGGGGCACCAGGAACCACGAACCACGACGAAAATCAAGGGCTCCTGGGCCAGGGTGGCTGGTGCTCCCGGGCCAGGGGGGCTGGGGCCCGTAAGGAATTCCAGAGAAATCCTCAGGAGACCCGCAAGGAGCCCTCTGGAACCCCAGAAGGAATCCCCAAGAATCCTGAGGATGTCGTCAGGAGCCCCTGAGGAATCCTCAGGACCCTCTCGGGAATCCTCAGGAATCCGTAGGGAATCCTCAGGAACCCAAAAGGAATCCTCAGGAACCCAGAAGGGATCCTCAGGACCCCCTAAGGAATTTCCAGGACCCCCATAGAGGATCCGCAGGAATCCCTAGGGAACCCTCAAGGATGCCTAGGGAATCTTCAAAGGAACCCCATCGGGAATCCTCCAGAACCCCTTAGGGACTCCGTAGGACCCCCCAGGGCATCCTCAGGAATCCCGAGGGAATCCTAAGGAATCCCAGCGGAATCCTCAGGAACCCTTAGAAGGAATCCCCAGGAATCTTCAAAGAAACCCCAGGAACCCCGAGGGAATCCTCAGGAATCCTTAGAGCATCCCCAGGAGCCCCGAGGGCATCCTCAGGACCCCTTGGGGGGAGGAGGGGGGGGGGAGGTCCTCAGGACCCCTTAGGGGATCCTCAGGAACCCCTGGGGAGCTCTCAGGAGACCCTAATGATAAGGAATAATGAAGAATCCTGAAGGGCACCATGAGGGGATCCTGAGGAACAATGGGGAATCCCAATGAGTCCGTAGGCGTCCTGAGGAGACATGGTGGATCCTGAGGAATCCTGAAGTGTCCTGAGGAATCCTTGGGGATCCTGAAGAATTCGAAGATATCCTGAATAATCCTGAGGAGCCCAGCGGAATCCTGAGAACGAACCCCATGGGAAGATCTTGAAGAATCATTTGGAATCCCAAGGATTACTGGGGGATCCTGTCGGGGATCTTCTGGCCCGGGTCAATACAAACCCGGGTCAGCGGGAAACCAAAAAATGAAATGCAGGAAAAAAACTGCAGAGCAGGTCTTCGCAAACCCGGGTCAGCCAATATGCGCGGCCGCCTCGCGGCCACGAGCGGCTCGCTAACCCGGGTCAGCCAGAGGGGGTCTTCGCAGGATCCTGCAGGATCCGGTGCCCTGGCTGACCCCCGTTTGCATTGATCCCCTTCTCTTGAGCCCCGATCCTGAGAAATCCTGGGGACTCCGGAAGGAGCCTGAGGAATCCTGGAATATCCTGATGAATCCTCGGGGGTCCCGCGGAATGGCTCCTGAGGAATCCCGAGAAATCCTGGGAGGTCTTAGGGATCCCTTGGAGATCTTAGAGAGTCTGGAGGGGTCCACAGGAATCCACATGAATCCCGAGGGATTCGCGGAAATCCTGGGGAAACCTTTGGAAACGTGCCAGGACTGCCGACCCCTTCTCCTGCCCCGTGGGGCACCTTGCGCTGCCGCCCCAGTGACAACCCCTTCTCCGGCCCCGTGGGGCAAGCCCTCGCTTGCTGGAGCTTTGCTTACCCTTGAGGATAAGCACTTGAGTTATGAGAGAAGAAGAAGATCTCAACAACAAGCCGGGGCCAGTGTCAACGCCTTACCGAACAACAACAGCATCAACAACAGCAACAATATCAACAACAACAACAAATGGTAATAATAATAAGAAGAATAAGAAGAAGAAAAAGAAGAAACACCATATACATAAAACTGTTGGCGCTCCGCGCGGACTTCGTGGATCTGCGCTGGAACCCTCTCCCCGGCGCGCGGAGCGCGCCAGGGGCAGCGCTGGAGGCGCCGCCGGGGGGCCCCAGGCGCGGATCCAAGAAATCCGCGCGGAACGCCAAAAGTTTATGGCGTCTTTCCTTCTTCGACTATTGTGAGATGCCCTGAAGGCTGGAAGCTGTTGTATTCGAGTTGGACTCGTACTGCGGGACGCAAGCTTGCGCTGGGAGTTCCTGCGGAGCTGGGCCCGGCTCTATGCGCGTTTGGCATCCTACCGCGGGGGCAGTTAGCACTCAATTGAAGTCCCTGCAGGGCAGGACCTGCTTCACTCCTGCATCCACACACAGACACTTTTTAGCGTCGGCGGCTCGGCAGAGGGTGACTGCGCTGGCGGCAAACGCATGAGCGGGGGTTCCGTTGGAGCGAATGGTGCCACCACTCACAGACACACAGACACGCCCGCGCATTGGCACCACATGGGGTATTGCGGGTGTGGCGCAGGGGCGCCTGAAATATGAGTTTTTCGCGCAGTGTGTTCACATGTGGTATGACGCAATGGCTTATCCAGAACGAGTTCAAGAACCCGTTGATTCAACATTGACGGTAGCTGTAGCACTCGTGCCGACATGGTGTTGGAATTCGGATGTACACGATGCTCGCTGTCGACGCAATTCGGTTTGCGCTTCTGAGCTGAGTTGCTCTGCCTGCTCGCTAACTACAGAAGCGCATTCGTGAGTGAGTCAGTGAAGGACGTGAGCACATGTACGCTGTGCAGGGACAGGGGCGGGGGGGAGAGAGAGAAAGAGAGAAAGAGAGAGAGAGAGAGAGACAGCAAGAGAGAAAGAGAGAGAGCGATATCAAAAAGAGGGGGAGAAAGAGAGCGAGAGAGAAAAAAAGAAAAGGGAAAGAGAGCGAGAGAGAGGGAGAGCGAGAGAGAGAGAGAGAGCGAGAGAGAGAGAGAGAGCAAGAGAGCGAGAGGGAGAGATACATAAACAGAGCGTGGGAGAGTGGCATAGAGACCGAGAGGAACAAACTGAAACCGAATGATATTCCGAGAGAGAGGGAGAGAGATAGAGGGAAGGGTCTGTATATATGTATACATAGATAGTGAGAGAGAGTTTTTTGCTCTGACAAAGACCAGCCGCACGTGTACCAGCCTGCTCAAAAGAAACGATTTAGGCCAGCGACGGAGACGCTATTCGACCCAGCTCCTCGCAAAGCGGGAGAGGTCGTCGTCGTCGTCCGAGTCGCTGGCATTGGGGAGGCCAAACAGGTCCACCCACAAGGCCGATACAGCCTGGGAAACAGGAGGAGAGAGAAGCTCCTGCCCCGACCACCCCGCCCCCACGTCCGACCCACTCCCAACCCCAGAAGTCTCAGGGAGCGAGGGGAGCGGCGGCATGCTAGCCGTCTCGTCGAACATCCTCTTCCGCAGCAGAATCGGAGGCCCAAGAAACAAACTCGACTTGTTAGGGTGGCAACCCTTCAGCAGGTTCTGAAGGCGGTAGAAACGAGGGTCCCTCACCTGTGTGCCGAGCCTGCGCTGTCCCGGCAAGCACTCCACAGAGAGACCCTGGCTGCGTTTCTCAGAATACGCACCGCACAGAGAACAAAACAAAACTGGCCCCGTCCTATGAAGCGAGCGCATGCCAGCCCTGTCTTGGCACTTGAGCTGGCGCAGCGTGAGTCGGGACTTCGCCGACCGAAGACACACCATGCAGCGAAACCGTCGGCCGCAAAATGTGACCGCTGGATCGAAACGAGAATGTGGCCTAGGCGGGCCGAAACCTCCTTCGATGGTTCCGATGACCCTGCCCAGCGCCTGTGCTTGAGCGTCCAGCGGGGTGACATGGCCTATCCTCGCAGCGATGCGCGTGCAAAACTGGGCGACCATCTTGATAGCCCCGCACGGGGCACGGTGAGCATCGCGCAGCACCTTCGCGTCAGGATGCATTGCAGCACCACGCTTGGCAGACGTGTCGGCCTGAGCGTTGCCGAAGCGCTGCCACGCCGTGAGCAGACCATCCGCGACGGCGGACGCGGGCGAGTGAGCTTTGACATGAATCACCTCCACCGCCTCCACCCCACGGTCCGACACCAACCTCCAAACCCCCCATCCATAAGTAGGCCCTGGGGTCGCCAGCATCCGTGCCAGCCCCTGACCCCTGGCGCC